AGAAGGTTGGTTGTCCCTGCAAAAAAATGTAAGCTTCCTTGTACCAGTTTGAAACATTTATGATTCATCTTCACTGGTTTTTTTCTCAGTGCCCATAAGAATTAACCAAGATCTGTTCAACTTCTCTGGTATTATTATTTTCCTACTTCATAGTGCCCTAACTTGTTCCTTATATTCCTTGAGTTTTTTTTCTTTTAAGAGTCTTTATAATCCTGCCGCAGTTTTTTTTTAACAACTTCACACGTGCTACAATGTCCCTGAGTATAACACTTCTAATTTCCAATCATGTAATATCCTTTACACTTGTCCCCATATCCTTAGGCACATGCTCTTCTTGACATGCCTTCCCCACTGCCCCCTCCCTTTGTTTCAGTCTATATTTTTAAGTAATTTTTATTGAAGTACAGTTGCTTTACAATGCTGGGTTAGCTTCTCTGGCACAGCAAAATGAACCAGCTGCTCATATATCCCCCCTCTTTGGATTGTCCTTGAGTTTAGGACATTGCAGTGCCTTAACTAGAGTTCCCCGTGCTATATATACAGCATTGGTCCAATCTTTATCTTCTTTCTTTACAGATTCAGTCAACACCGAATATCTCCTCTTTCCTTTGCTTATACTCTCACAATGATTTCTTTTTCTCTACTGGGCCTCCATGAGACACAGTTGCCTACCTAATTTTTTCCCAGTGGTTTTAAATAAGTTTTACTGGAACACAACAATGCACATTCCTTTAGATTTTGAGTGAGGCTTGTGTGTATGTATTCTAATGGCTTCTTTTTTGTTATTTTGATTGTGGAAAAATATACATAACATATACCTTACCATTTGAACCATTCTTAAGTGTACAATTCAGTGACATAAAGTACATTCACATCAGTATGCAACCATCACCACTATTCATCTCCAGAACATTTTCATCATCCCAAACTGAACTTCTTACCCATTAAAAACCTCCCTAATCTCATCTCCCTTAGCCCCTGCTAATCTCTATTCCACGTCCTTTCTGTATAAATTTGACTATTCTAGGTATCTCTTGTAAGTAGAATCATATACTATTTTCTTTTTCATTTTATGACTGGCTAATTTCACTTAGCATAATGTTTTCAAGGTTCATGGATGTTGTAGCATGTATCAGAATTTCCTTTCATTTTAACTTTGAAGAGTACTCCTTTGTATATATACACTGTGTGTTGTTTATCCATTCATCTGTCAATAGACAGACATTTGGATAATTTCCACCTTTTGGCTGTTATGAATTATGTGTTGTGAACATTGGTGTATAAATATTTGTTCTAATCTTTGCTTTCTAGTTCTTTTGGATATATACCCAGAAGTGGTATTTTTGGATTCTGCCTAATTTTAATTAACTTTTACTATGTGAACTGCTGTTGCCTTGTAAGCTTTGTGACATTAGTGGTTCTGTCTTAGTCTTCTTTATCAGACCTGAGCACAGTCCCTGACATTATAGAGATTCAGTCTTAAATGGGATTTTATGGGGATAAATAAAAGAAGGAATCATCTCCCTGTTCACACAGAGAATACATCTTCAATGAGAGTGGGTATGGGCTGCTGTTACTTAAGTGCCTGCTGCTCATTCTGAGTCTCCCCAGAGTGAGCCCTATGGCAAGTCTAAATTACCAGCACTGATTCCTCAAGTAAATCTATTTTCTAAAAATTGCAGGTTCTTTATTTAAATAATTGAATGTTCAAAAATGTATGGTCTGATTCTCACTGCCATTATAATTAAGTCCTAGAAGGCAGGGATATATCTCCCTTTTATGTTCTGAGTACATTCAGTGCCTGACATATGAATTTGTTGAATGAATTAATCAAGAAATCAGTTCATAAATTTATAGCAGCTTTTCCACATGGAGAAGCTTCTCCCTTCTACTGCCACATGAGGAATCCCCAAATGAAATGTAGATGATGGTACTTTCTTGTTCAAGAGTTATTAATCTCCCCTGAGAGTGAAATTCTAGGAACTTGTTGTATCTATTTTGTATAATGAAAATGAAAGTATCATGGCAAATTGTTATTTGCATGTATAGGAAAAAAATCTATGTGAATGCTCAGTAATTTGAAATATTGATATTTACTTCAGCACTGAATTAGGAAAATTTTGCATGGGATACTACTAAAATTCAACTGTCCAAAGAGAAGCATCTACATTGTAGAAATAAGTTGACTTGTAATGTGTTATACTGGCAGTATCACCTTGACTTTTTATACCCAAGAAAATCAAGGTCTTTCACCTTAGCCAGCTTTCAGGATGCCTGGTTAGCCACTCTTCAGTAGAGCCTTACTTAAATGTCTCTTTATATGCTGGCCATTTTTTTCAGGCTTACTTTTCTGTAGTGTCCATGTGGTATCATCTTCACATCTAATTTTCTGCATAGCTTAATAATACCCTCTACTCTAAATTATATTTGGAATTAAACTATGGACTTGTATTTAGGTCTTTTATCTTTACTTAAATGATTCTGCATTTTTTTCCTGTAACAATTATTTGTTTTAAGCCAGTCCACCAATAATTTGTATGTAGTTGGTTTATAAACATAAATTTAAGTATTAGATTATCCATTGAACCTCCAAATAACTTCATGTGGAGAGAAAATGGGAGTAATTTGGTGATGAAACTGAAGAGTAGCCTTTTTGTTATTTGCCCACATAGCTCCATAGTTTTAAAAGTTATGGTTAATAACATTTAGAAAATTAAGATGAATGATAAGGAATATATTTTAGCATTGAGTGAGAAATGGTAAACCCATCTTACTGTAGGAAGAAACGAGAGGGAAAGACAGAACTAAGTATAACAGTAAGGGTTTAGAGCCTGAGAGAATGAAAGGTTCAACCAAAATGAATCTTGCCTATTTACTGAAGCTACCTAGAGGAGGATAAATGGGAAACTCTCTCAAGTCAGTGCCCTCAGGACAACAAAATGACAGAATCCTGAAGATAGTCAAAAGAAAATGTAACCAAAGGCATCAGTGAGCCTAGGATAGTAAGTAAGGGGAGAAACTTGAATGAATTTTCAACCTTCAACGCTTGCTCTAACAGTTTCACTTCCATTATGTAGACCTTAATCTGAAGTTGCATATTTGCTTTAATTTGATATATTTTTAGAGTATCTCTAGATGCTCATTTTTTTTTGGTTAACCTTTTTTTGAGATAATGATAAATTCACATGTAGTTATAAGCTATAATACATGTGCACCCTTAACTCAGCTCAACCCCAGTGGTACATTAACCTTATTTATAATATTACCATGGACATCAACAATGATACAATCCACAATAGTATTCCTCAGTGTGCCTGTGCACATTTTTTTTTAGTTCTTTACAACATTGTCACATGTGTACATTTGTGTATCCTTCATCAGAGTCAAGTGAAGAATAGATCCATCACTACAAGGATGCCTTGTGCTACCCTTTTATAGACACATTCACCCACCCCTCCAATCCCACCCCAGTTCCTAACCTCTGGCAACTGCTACTCTGTTCTTCATTTCTATCATTTTGTCTCTTTAAAGCTGCTATGTAAATAGAACCATACTGCATGTTACCCTTTGTTATTGGCTTTATTTTTTTTTTCACTCAGCATGATACCCTTGAGAGTCACCTAAGTTGTGGCCTGTATCAGCTGTTATCAATAGCTGTTCCTTTTCATTGCAGAGTGGTAGTCTGTACATCCATGGTATGGACGTACCAATATGTTTAACCATTCACCCTTGAATGGCATCTGGGTTATTCTCAGTTCTTGACTGTTACAAATACAGCTAGTATGAACACTTACTTAAGATACAGAGTTTTGTATAAACATAAGTTTTCATTGCTTTGAATAAATGTCTAAGAGCCCAGATGCTGGATTGTATGGTAAGCACATGTTCACTTTTGTAAGAAACTGTCAAAATGTTTTCCAGAGTAGCAGTACTATGTACATTTCTGCCAGCAAAGCATGAGTGACCCAATTTCTCTATATCCTTATCAACATTTGATATTGTCATTATTTTTTAAAAAAAATTTTGCCACTATAATAAGTCTGTAGTGCTAGCTCTTTATGGTTATAATTTGCATTTCCCTAATGGCTAGTGATGTTGAATATCTTTTCATGGGCTCATTTGCCTGATGTTTATGTGTAACCTGACTCCACCTAAAAATGTTAGGAGTGTGAAGGACAGGAGAAAGGATTTGTCTTGAAAAAATAAAACTCTACCAGATTTTAATTCCCAAATCCACTCCCAGATAGAGAAAAGAGAGCTGGCCATTAACTCCATTTCTTATTGTTGTTGTTTAGCCCCTAAATTATGTGTCTGACATTTTTGTGACCCTATGGACTGTACCACCCCTCCCTTGCCCAATGCCCCCAGGTTCCTCTGTCCCTGAGATTTCCTAGGCAAGAATACTTAAGTGAGTTGCTATTTCCTCCTCCAGGGGATCTTCCTGACCCAGGGATTGAACCTGAGTCTTCTATGTTAGCAGGCAGGTTCTTTACCACTGAGCCACCTGGGAAGCCCTAACCCCATTGTTTAGTAGAGTTCTAACACGCATTTCTAAAGCAAGGACATTTCAGTCAATTGCAGTCACCCCTAATTACAATAGCACTCCCTTAAGCTAGATCAAAGGGTTGATGAAATGTCTTTTTTTGAGTTTCAATTATGTACTAGGAAGCACTTCTTAATTGCAGGCATCTTTTATGAATTAGCTTTGTTATATATTTTATTTGGAGATACTCTTACTGGACTCTCTAATCTGCAGTAATTTATTTATATACTAAAAGTACATTTATTTCCTCTCTCTTTGTAAATGTTTGGAGACATTCGTTTGTTACAGAAAGTGCAGTTACAAATTGCAGTTTGTTTCATTTTTAGATTATTTTTCAAAAGCTATAATGCTGCTTAGGCTCTGGAAATAGCTAAATGCAATTACCTTAGCATTTTGTTTTCTTTTCAAACAGTCATTTTGTCTGCTTCCTTCAAATGCTTCCCTTTATCTTTAACAGGTTGATTTAGTGAATATCGGAAGCTCTGACATAGTAGATGGAAATCATAAACTGACTCTTGGCTTGATTTGGAATATAATCCTCCACTGGCAGGTAAGAATCCTGATGAATTTTTTTTTGGAGGGTGAGTACAGTGGAAGGGGAGTTAACACATTGCTGATCCTTCCTTTCATTTTCACCCTTGACCTGCAAAACAAATGTGTATCTCTAACAGTGGAAAGCCCATCTCCACAGTGCTTCATTTTAAATTGGGATGATTGTCATTTGCATTGTGAGGTATCAGCAGATTATAAAACAGGTTCTAGTACATTTGCAGAAATATTTTTCTAAATTTTATTTCACTGGGTACAAATGAGGGGGAAAAATCTCATCAATAGGTTAATAAAACTATTTTCAAATATATGTGTCTTCTGTAACTCACCTAACAGTAAATCTACATGGTTTTGTAAGAAGAGAAGTGTTTTTTTCTGTTAATCACTATCAGATCAATAAGACTTTGTGAAGCATGTGTATTCTCAATGTAAACTAATGCCAATAAGAGATTACTGGGATATGGTGATCTGTATATCTGTTATATACACAAGTTCACTTCATAGTTTGATTTGGAAACTGTATTTTTTTTTTCCAGAACCACCTCAGCAAGGGTCTTTTTTTAAAAAACATTTTATTTTATTTTTAACTGGAGGATAATTGCTTTGCAATATTGCGATGGTTTCTGCCATACACTAACATGAATCAGCCATAGGTATACCTAATCTCCCCTGCCTCCCTCCCCATCCCACACCTGTAGGTTGGGGTCACAAAGCCCTGGCTTTGGGTTCCCACCAAAACAGATCACAAGTCATTTGGTTTAGTGAAGATTATGTAATATTTTATTCAGACTGATTTGAGCTTAAGTTTAAACTTCCCCAGTTACCATCTTAGTGACATTGGATATAATGTCCTCCATTTCTGGACCAAAATTCCCTTACTATCAAAAGTAAAAAAAAAATAATGACCATATATATTTCTTATCAGAATTAAATGAGAGAATTCCATAAAGCACTCAGTACAGAGTAGCATTTTCATGAGAGGCATATCTTGCCAATAATGCTTTATTTCCCACTCATATTTTAAAAAGTGGAGGATAATTGAGATGCTGGCTCTTTTTAGTAGTAGAGATTATTTTTTTTTTATAAAACAGCTTTTTTTGAGATCAAAGGTATATATCATAAACATACCTGTTCTATGTATAAAATTCAAAGTATACCAAGTTGGTTTAGTTGTGTTGCTCAGTGCTCCTCAAACTATTTTGACCCAATCTGTCAAAGATTTTAGAATAGTTACAGAATAGTACAGTCATCACAACAATCTAATTTTGGCACATTTCCATGATTCTGAAAATAAATCTCGTGTCCATGTTACCATCACTCCTCTTTCCCACCCCAACCCTAGGAACCATTCATCTATTTTCTGTCTCTGTATATGTGCCTTTTTGGACATTTCATGCCCAATGCACTCATACAATATGTATTCTTTTATATCTGGCTTCTTTCACTGAACATAATCTTTGAGGCCCATTCCTATTGTGGCAGGTACCACTACTTCCTTTAGTAAGGTTGACTTTCATCTTGAATTGTAGATTGGTCCTGCTCAGAGGCAGGCAGCATGTAGACCAGAGGTATACCTATTCAACTCAGCACCCATATTGTTCTCCCAATTGACTCACATATCTTTTTATTCTCAACACTCTGAACTGGCTTAGTCCTATTTTATAGCAATATGGAGAGAGAGAGAGAACAAGCATAGCAGCTCACAGCAGAGAGTAGCTCAAAAGAGCCCAAGGTTCCCAATTCGGGGCCTTTTTCATGTAGCGATGGTGTCAAATAGAGAACCAGCAAGGCAGCATAGGGCCCTCCACCAAACTGGTTTCCTTCTGTTGCTCAGTACTTCTCAAACTATCTTGAGGAAGGAACCATCCCGCACCACCGCCACACCCCCCCTCGCTGTTCCATTGTATATAAATTACAATGAAATTGCAGCATTATGAAAATAAGCTTCTTCTTTATCACCAAACTCAACAGACATAAATAGGACTCTATAAAATTGCTACAGATGTTTCTAATGGACTATCAACAGTTGTTTTTATCTTATAGCCCAATAACAAATTGTTTATGTTGTAGCCACGCATTCCGGGAAACAAACTCACTCAGAAGGACAATGCAGATAGTGGAGTGCAGTTTACTACGCCAGTGGGCCCAAGGAGGAGTCTCCTCTTAGCCAAGGACCCCAACCAGTTTTTGTGAAAACCTTATATACCCTAAGTGTATAAGGTTCCCTGAAACTAGTCTGAACAAAGGAAAAAGAAGACACAATCAAAGTCAACCCGTGATTCATAAGCCTTAAGCCTAGGTAGTTAACAGTGGACAGTTATCAATAGGCCTATGGTCATACCCCAATAAGCATAATAGAATGTATGATTCTATTTGGTTACACAGATAATTAGAGTATTCTTTTAGGCAATGGAGAGCCCTGGGGCTCTTCCTTCCAGGGGCCCGGTTTTCCAGTTGGTATGTCGTTTTCATAGATACTGGGCATATAGCTCAAAGTCCACAGTCTGGCCCAAGAGGGAGTCCTGCTTTCAAGATAGAGACTGTTCTGTTTGTTCCTTCATTCATGGAGAGACCCCAGAGTGCAGGAAATACTTTGAGTTGCACAAATAGTGGTCATGACAAAGCCAGCAGGAGAACTTAGGCTTGCTCAGAGCCCCCAAAGTCTATTTTAATTGTATCCCTCACTCAAACTCTCTCATAGTATCTCACCCTTTCTTATTTCCTCAAAAGCCTTTGCGACTTTATCTCAACTCACTGCAGGATGGTTTCAAAACCACCCTGTCTGATCTTTTCTTCCTTTCCTTGTGAGTGTCCTCATTTTTATTTTATTTTTTTTAAATTAACACGGGGAAGGACTTTCACATGAGAAGTAGAGAAGGAGTGCTTTTCCAGTCTTTCTTCATCTGAGACTTCTCTTACAGTCTTCTTTTTTCCCTGTATGTCCTTGCATCACCATTTCCAATTGATTGCAAGGATGTAGACTCTTTTCAGCCTCTGCCTCCTTCCCTCTCTTCTATCACACTGTCCTGTTCTCCTAAAACTTTGAAAACACTGTTTAAGAGTAATCCCCACTCGGTACTCCTCATCATAACCCAGTGAATCACAAAAGATATTTTCACCAAGAGTGCATATTTGCCTTCCTGTTAAATAGTCAAAGAAGCCCTTGAATCTCAGTCAAGATTAAAGGACATTCTGGACAACCTAATATACTTTCCAGGCCTATCAGGTTAAGAAGGACATGAAGTGATGGAAAGATGTTAATCTTTGGTTCCAGTGTCACATATTTTGCTATTACTAGTACTGCAGTGGCCTTCTCTCTGAACTTGCAGAAACTCTGGAATGTCAATCCCATCTCCTCTGTCACTGGATTTCCAATTTCTACTTAAATGAAATCATTAGCTGGAAAAATAATGCCTGTATTGAGGAGCAAGCAACCTTGAGCAAAATTGTGAAGTAGAAAATATGTGTTACATGTCCTTTTCTTACATCTTTTCAAAGTACAAACTATCTTTTTTTGTGTGGGGGAGGGGCGTTCAACTCAGTTCTGGGAACCAGCTGGAGATAAAAACACATCCTGCTAATGAAGGTGAATCCAGCCCCTGTACCCTGACACAGAATTAATTCTCAGAGACAGAGTTTTGGCTGAAGTAGAAAAGAATAGCTTTATTGCTTTGCCAGGCAAAGGGGGCCACGGGGGGTTATGCCCTCAAAACTGTGTGACCACACCTGGGCGGGGGGTGCATAGTGAGGAGTTTTATAGTAATGGTTCAAAGAAAAGGGTGTGATCAGCTCATGGATTTTCTTTTGGTTGGTTGGAGGGAAGGTAAGTGGGAATCAGCATCATCAACCATCTGGTTCCAGCCAGTCTGGGGTCTACAGTGCTTGTAGACTTCCAATCATTTCCTGTTAATTTCTTCCACCTGGTAGGGGTTTCAGTCTCTGCAAAACAATTCAAAGGTATTGTTATGTGTATCCCTTGAGGAAAAACTAGGACCTTGTTCCCAAGCTTGCACTATTGTTTTCTTGAAGGCTCCTCCCTGTCTCTGTATCCCCTTACTTCCCTATTTGAACCTGCTGACTGGAACTCAGGGAAGGTCTTGGAGGCTGAAGGGAGCCTATTTTCTGTAATTAAGAACTGGGGGACACAGGAAGGCTTTTATGTCCAGGAGTCTCACAGGGTTCTTGCTCAGTATCAGGTTGAGCCACTAAATTGAGCCGGTATCAGTTCGGCCCCCACCTTTGCTGGCTGCCTACAAAGAAATACCCAGTTGCAGGGCTCCTTCACACTAGAATATTTGTAACCTCGTGCCTACCTAGAGCCTTCTGGGCAAAACAGGCCTTAATCTGGTCTTCTGCAGGTCTTTCACACACTACCATCCATTCTTTGTCTTAAGAGAAAACTACTCCTTCCTCTCTTCAGTCATGCCCCTCTGCTGGAACTCCTTTTAGGCACAGCATGAATTCTGGGACACAGACTCTGAGATTGTAGGCAGGATGTTAATGGATATGCACCCAAGAGCCTTCTTGAACTCTGTGGAGAGCTGGGAGCTAGAATGAGCCTTCAGAGTTGTCCTGTGGCGCTGACATGGTTGAGTCTTCATACACTTTCCCTTCATCAGTTGATAGGTGGGCTGCCCTAGGAGGGGTGTGACCTTAGGTGACATGCCTGAGCAGCTCAAGTAGTTCCTGAGGGGACTCAGGGGTAACTTCTGCTCATGACAGTTGGAGAAACAAGCCCCTTCCTTAAAGGAGAATCCTGGTAGTACATCTCCATGTCTATCCCACCTTCTTTGCCACATTAACTACTGGTCATTTTTTTTAAATGAGTGCTCAAAGACATTTCTTTTTTTTTTCTTTTAAAAATAGCTGTATACACCCCCCCACACACACACACATACAGTTATTTAATAAATAACTCTCCAAGGGTCAATGAGCTCTGAGGGTAGGGGATTTTTTATTTTTTTTGCTTCAAAACTCACCTTAGGAGCAGTTCAGTGTCTCACTGACTGTGTCTGTGTGCTTAGTCACTCAGTCGTTTCTGACACTTTGTGACTGTGTGGACTGGGGCCCGCCAGGTTCCTCTGTCCACAGGATTATCTCTGCAAGAATACTGGAGTGGGTTGCCATTTCCTCCTCCAGGGGATCTTGCCAATCCAGGGATTGAACCCATGTTTCCTGCATTACAGGCAGGTTCTTTACCCACTGAGCCACTGGGGAAACCTTGTCTGACTGAGATTGATCCTTAATACAGATTTCTTGGGAACTGTCTTTTATGTAGGAATATGAGAACTGTTACCTCACATTGCCCTTCATAATTCTTTTTTCTCAGCAACATTTGCACCCAGGTAGAATCAACAGCAATGAGGCTGAGGCTGATAAGCTGAATTAGTGACATAACGATGCTAAAGGAGCTTTGGATTGAATACTCTGTCGTCCTTTAACATTATGTGCATAGAGGGCAGTCTGGCCAAGCATTTCACAAATGAATCCCATTCATCATGGGAGGGCTGCCTGATCAGTGCAAATCCATCACAACCCCTGAGCCAGTATATGCTATCCTGACCCTGGTTCAGCACAGGATTCATCTGACGGTCTCTATACATGGAGGCTGTGTATTTTATAACTTTAGAATATGATAAGGAAAATGACATATCTTACATAACTATTTGACCTATTTATTCACTAAGTAACTGGCTAAATAAGCAGGTCAAGAAGGAATTAAGAAAACTGGATAATCCACCCCTACATAATAGATTTAGCTATCAAGGGATGGTGACAAATATATGTAGAGATTTCACATCTTCACATCATTACCACGTTTACAAAACATCATCTTAAACCCTTTACAAGTATTTTAATGTTCGATTTAATAGTCTATCCTAAAATTTGCTTTGAATCTTTCATAAAAGGATGACTAACACTGGAGATGTTAAAATATGTATTTTCCCCAAAGGCATTTGTTAACTTCTGCGTGGATGAAGAAGCAAAATAAAATGTCATATTTAGAATACACAATAAATATTTATCATCTGATCAAATGTTGATAGTCTATGGACCTTACACTTGCTGAAAGGGAAGCCCTTCGTGGTAAAAGAAGTCACATTTACTTATATCCTTCCTTTAAGTATGTGATAAGGGTCCTGGCTTATATTAAAGAGGTAGCCTGGTAATTATTCCTTTAACAGAATATGTAGACGGTCTGTCCCATAATGAGGTGTCAACTTCATGCTGGAAACCTAGAAAATGGATTTCTGCGTCAGCGTAGTTTGAAGAATGACAAGTGGAAATACAATCACCTGCTGAATGGCATTTGCACCTACACAGAGCCAAGGAGAGACACTAATGGACAGAAACCAATTCATAAAAAGAAAACTAAATCTGGTCTTTTCCTCCTCCTCCTGCAGTTTTGGTGTCTGCTCCCTTTAAGGGAGCCGGGTAGGCGGGGCCCAACCAACGCCACCACGTGACCTCCGGGCCCATCCCAGAACCTCCCGCGCACCTGCTGGTGCACTGTTGGCGACCTGGCCGCGTTCCCTTCTCTGCTCGCTCTGAGGCCGCCCCCTGGTGGCAGAGTCGCTTCTCTCCCGCAGCCTCTGCCTTCCTCACCGCGCTCTTGTTGGGGTCCCTGCGGGCCCTCGATTTTCTCCTCACTGCTGCCAGGCTGATAAACAAGCAGCAGGGCTGGTGCAGGCCCCTGTTGGACTTTCTAGGAGACATCACAGCGGCCCTCATCTCCTTTGCCATCTCCATCACACCTGTTGCCAAGTAAATGGGACGGGGCTGCCTAAGCGGCCCCGGCGTTGGGTTTTCTTGGTCATCATGCTGTTTGCTCTTGACTTCAACTTCATCTTTTCCAACATGGCCGAAATCTCAGGCCATGGGACGCTGCAGAGGTTACCACAGCCGACAAGGCAGAAGTAGAGAATTCTGACGGTGACTCTGGAGGTGGTCCGGGGATTGTCTGTTGGGAAGGAGGCTATGACTTCTCAGAGGAGCAGTGTGAGTTGCTGATGGAGCCGGCCTCCTGACCGCCCCGGGGGGATGGTCCTGAGCCCAGCACACAAGAGGGCATCCTTTGGCTTAGCACCATCTAACCTCTCTGCGCGTGTGAGCATCTTGAGTGTTCTACCACATATCTCCACATCTGTTTCACTGACCTGAAACCGTTTCACGTCCCTGCCCAAAGCAAGCACAAAGGGACTCCTTACCCATCCTTCGTGGGAAGGATTTCATGCTGCTGGCAGAGGGGCGAATAAGGCAGAAACCAACCCAGGCCAACCTGCCGGCCCGTCATTTTTGTCTGCAGCTGGTGCTCTGGTTCACGCCAGACAGTTTGTTGAGAATCATCTTTCAAGATTCTTTTGTTCAAGGAGCACCATCTCGAGGCAGGGAGAAAACTGACCTTTGTCCTGTCTTCTGCTGCTGCTGCTGCTAAGTCACTTCAGGCATGTCCGACTCAGTGCGACCCCATAGACAGCAGCCCACCAGGCTCCCCCTTCCCTGGGGTTCTCCAGGCAAGAACACTGGAGTGGGTTGCCATTTCCTTATCCAATGCATGAAAGTGAAAAGTGAAAGTGAAGTCGCTCAGTCATGTCCAGCTCTTCGCAACCCCATGGACCGCAACCTACCAGGCTCCTCCATCCATGGGATTTTCTGGGCAAGAGTACTGGAGTGGGGTGCCATTGCCTTCTCTGGTCCTGTCTTATAGGAGTGGGTGAATCTGGGTGCCCATAACTGGCCAAGCCTTTCACAAATGAATCTCCTTTAATCATGGGAGGGTTTCCTGATAAGTGCAAATCCATTCCCGCTGCTGAACTAGTTAGGTTTAAGTTTGTGTGCTTCTTGTTCATGCATTTTCTTATGAAAATTTCTTTCCACACATAGGTCAAAAATGTAATGAAAAATATCATGGCTGGATTGCAACAAACTAACAGCGAGAAGATACTCCTGAGCTGGGTCCGACAATCAACTCGTAATTATCCACAGGTTAATGTCATTAACTTCACCACCAGCTGGTCTGATGGTTTGGCCTTGAACGCGCTCATCCACAGTCATAGGTAAGGAGATTTCTGAGACACTGAATAATTTTTTGTAAGTGTTAATTTACAGACTGATGTATTTTTGTCCAGGCTGGTTCCAGATCATTTTCCACAATGCAACGTATTTTTATGTTGACCATATTGATCTATCCATCCATTGGGATGCTCTGAATAAGAATATCCTGTTTTTAAAGTGATATATCACTTAGTTGTTGAAACAGTAAAAGTATCAGAGCATGAATGTGATTATGATGGGGGAGGGGATCAGCACCTTTGAAATTGAGACTCTGCCAGAAAATCAAGGTTACATTCTAACTCTGCCAAGAATAGAGTTGGTCTTTCTGTACAAATAATGTGTTAATATGAGCCTCAACTCTAGCATTAAAAATAGTTCGCAGATCTTATGTGAGTGGCTGTAGTACAATTAATTACCATCATAAGATTAATAATGTGAAAAAGAAACATTTCTCTTGTCAGATACCCACTTAGATAGCAAAAACTATAAGGCCCTGCATATGTGTGTGTGTGTATAGATATATATAATATACATTTTGGGGTTAAAAGAGGTTCTGAGCATCTTAGCAACCAAGGCAAAGAGCAGACCACAATTAATTCTGTGACTCGGTGCTCAGAATAACAAAATAAACAACTGCTCTGTAATAGCAGAGCGATTCCTGTAAAGTGTCAGAGAGAGTTGTTCTGTCCGTCTTCATAAGAGGAACTCAGTGTGACATAGTGAACCAAATGTCCTTAACTGTATTCACACTATTTTCTAAGATAACAAAATAGTTGTTTGCTTTTTCTTGTATAAAGGAGATCAGTAAGTGAATTAATAACAGTTCAAGAAAAAGCAAAACAACATGGTAAATTCATGCATTATATATAATGAATGCATTCATATACATTCTATGTATAATACATTATCCGTAAGGAACATCTGCTTTGGTTTTCTTATTACACATTTCTTTTACCCAGCCCAGTCCCCAGGGTCAAATGCTTGCCTTATTAACTGTGTTTGAAATGCCACTGGTCTGCATCTTCCCTGATTTTCAATGCAGTTTATCTTTTCTCATTTTGATCTTACGCTTCTCGACAGGTCTACTCTACCATTTTCCTGTACCAATCTTGCTTCTAGAAACATCCAGAATATAAATTTTCTTTCTGGTTTACCAGTCTGGGAGCAAATGCTCTCTAAATAAGCATCTTTGTCAGGTGTCTTGCTCCAGCTGGGTTTAATTAACCCCATCCAGACTGAGTTTCCAGGTGAATGACTCAGCAACCTGATTTTGGAAAGGAGGCAGGCTCACTCTCAGTCGGCATGTTAAACAACATTAAAACGTTGTTTTCCCCCACGTGTGATATGAAGAAAAGTATTCCACAGCTTCAATAAAGCCAGATGAGAGGGGATAGAGACGTTCATTCTGCATTATAAGGCAATGTTCATTTATGCAGCCACATGCTTCACGGTAAGGGCCAGAACATATTGATCTTACTGTTCATGTACACATTTGCAGATGAACAGAAATATTGAGGATCAGGTTATGTGGTTCTTGTTGGCTTGCTAGCATTTTCTTTTCAAGTGGACGACTTCAGTCCTGCCAGCATGTTCACAGACTACATTTGTTAATATTTTATTTCATGATTTCTGAATATAGTTCTAAGTAATTCAGTAAACATATGTAGGTTTCACTCCCTGTCCCTGACCTACTCTTTGCCTCTCCAAATATCCCCGTTGATATATTCTTCTGTAATATTGAATGAATCACCAGCAACTCCTTTTTTATACATAACATGGTTACTTCTCAAGAGGTTTCTCAAAGTTGCTAATACTCTTTCATGAATTATCTTTGTCTTCTTTTTGTCTCTGACAAATGTTCATATTGTTTATCTAAAGAGAAAGAAAATGGTTGAACTTTTTGTTTCAGGATGATTGTCATTGAAACACAGGAATGTCATGAAGTGTCCTGATTTCAGTAATTGAGAGATTATGTAGAACAAAAGCGTGAACTTGATAAAGAGCAGAGGAATTGACAAAGAGCCTTGCCAAAGATCAGTCTGTCAGTGGTTTTATTTTTCTTTAAGGCTAAATTTTCTCTTAATATGTAAGGAATTAAAAGTATTGAAAGACAGAATTCACTACAGTGCAGTTAAAAGAAAGCCAGATTCTACTTCTGTGGGAAAAACAACCAAATGATAATTAGCTTAGCTGGTAAAGAATTCACATGCAATGCAGGAGACCCCAGTTTGATTCCTGGGTTGGGAAGATCCACCAGAGAAAGGAAGGATAGGCTGCCCACTCCATTATTCTTGGGCTTCCCTGGTGGCTCAGATGGTAAAGAATCTGCCTGCAATGCTGGAGACCTGGGTCTGATCCCAAAAAATGTTGGGAAGATCACCTGGAGAAGGGGACAGCTACCCACTCCAGTATCCTTGCCTGGAGAATTCCATGGACAGAGGAGCCTGACAGGCTACAGTCCATAGGGTCACAAATAGACACAGTTGAGCGACTTTCACAAGACATAAGACATGCTCAAAATATGCAAATAAATTGCACTAAGTATACAGTTGCAATAAAATTTTCTTTCTAATTTCTTAGTTTATTCCCATAGAAGTAACATAGCACATGATTTAGAAACAGTCAGACATTAGGGAAGAAAAGGGCAGAAAGAAAGAAAATATATCTTCCTGATCCCAGTCCTATTCCAGCACACTCTACTTGCTAGTAGTTACTGTTGGCGACTTCTTTTATTCTCTCTGATAGTTTCCATAATTATAAATATTTTATTTCTTGATTAATTCATTTCTGACAGTAGATGGATTTATTCCTTAATGTGAAGCCCACACATCTTACATCTCATCCCCATCTATTTCTTGATTTCATTACTATGTTATAATCATTTTATTCTTACAGTTGTTGCCTGTGTGACTTTAAATGACAGTTGTATACCTGTTTTCATCAAGTTTAGACAAGGTCTGTTCACCACCTGAAAAGAAAAATGAGGAAATTATCAGCCTTATATATACTTCCTCCTCTTCTCTCTACCTTCTATTCTGTTATTATAATATTATTCTTGCATTAGTGGTATTGTAAATTTATATCTCTTCTATAAGTTTAGGTGTTCTTGGCTTGAATCTATAAATTGAAAGCGTTTTACTGTTATTTTATAAATATAATTAAGCTTAAAACAAAGTAATAGAAGTTAGTGTTTTGAAGCAATTATTGCTGTGTAGGCACTGTTCTAAGGACAACGGCCCATCTGTTTCTCATGACATGCATACTATCGTTGTCCCCATTTCACAAATTGGGAAACTGAGGCACAGGAGAGGTTATATGATTTATCTAAGACCATTTGAGTGTGTCACCCAAAATAGAAAGATAAAAGGAGGCAATCTCAAACGATCAGAAATTGAGTTTATTCAGGAATAACAGAGGAATTGCAGTTTGGTAAACTTGCTATAGTGAGATACAGGTGAGTCTGTTGGCAGTTTGGGGCAGACTGTGTGTATGGGCAAGGATCGCAGAGGGAACAGTCCAGCTTAAGTGCAGGCAGTAAGCTCATTGCCTTAAGGATGGGAAGAGATTCTGAGTGGATATTCATTGGTTGGGAGATAAGGCTTGATTTCTGTAAAGCAGGCATTTATAGAGAACTAGCCTCTGAATTCTTACATTCATTCTTCTTAAGGCATGTGTGTGGAATTCTCCATTTTGTATCCTCTGGTTCCACTTCTGATTGAAATATGTTCACAGTTAATACATGGTAGAGCCCAGGTTTTGGATTCATAGAGGACTCTACTAGGCTATGCTATCTCACTCAGTATGTCAGTTTTCTCAGAAGGCTGGTGATCCTTGATTGCACATTCTTATTTATGAGTTATAGTCTAGGTCAGCATGGGAGGAGACTATGTGGCTTTCCTCTTCAGTTGGTTAGTTTTACAATTCTTTATGCATTTGAAAATCACAGTTACTTAAGTGTTAATAAATGGTGTATTTTAATAACATTTTATTAGATTGATTTTAATGCTAGAAGAGACCTCAAAGACCATTCAGTACATCATTGCCTTCTTTTTGAAATGAAAACACTGAAGCTCAAATAGATTACATGGCTCAGATAACTCCTCATCCAGGTGATGAGTTACTGGCTAGGGAGAAGGGGGAGAAGATGAAGGGAGAAGGGCTTAAATGTGGAAGAAATCCCTTTTTAAAAAAATCATATTAATTTAACTGTGTTTACTGTGCTGTAGATGAGAAACTAGTTTCCCACACTCTCCCACCTATATTCTTTTCCACTTCCCTTGCTGAGAGATGGAGAAATGAAGATGGGGCAGAGGTTGCATAGTGAAGTTAGAACTTTCTCCAAATAATCCAGGATTTAATTTTTGTTTCATACAGTCACACGACTAGAGACAGCTCCATGTGCGTGTGTGTGTATACACATTTTAGGTTCTAAAAGGTCTTTGGTCATTCTAGGTAATCTGGAGTGTATAGAGGAGATTAGATTTACTAAGAAGTGCACAGAAGCCTGGTGAATTAAACAGGGTAGGAGCAAGTAGAGAAAAAGAAATGAGAGTCAGAGGAGAAATAATGTATGTTTATTTTGAATTCTGCTTTTAGAAAATAACAGCTAAGCCTTTCCTTGTAGCATCCTCTCTGCGGAGCATGAATTCTTAAGCAAGAGTCCGTTGACAGACCCCAAAGTCCTAAAATTCTTTGTAATTCTATCTAGAGACTGTCACACAAAGAAAAGTAAGTCAGAAAGAGAAAAGTAAATATCATATATTAATGCATATATGTGGAATTTGAAAAAAATTGGTACAGATGATATTCTTTGCAAAGCAGAAATAGAGACGTAGACATAGAGAACAAACATGTGGATACCAAGGGGGAACAAAGGGGAACAAGGGGTGCTGGCGTGATTTGGGAGATTGAAATTGACATATATATACTATGTATGTGAGTGAAGTCACTCAGTTGTGTCCAATTCTTTGTGACCCCATGGACTGTAGCCCACCAGGCTCCTCCATCCATGGGATTTTCCAGGCAAGAGTACTGGAGTAGGTTGCCATTTCCTTCTCCAGGGGATCTTCCTGACCCAGGGATCGAACCCAGGTCTCCCGCATTGCGGGTAGACGCTTTACCGTCTGAGCCACCGGGGAAGTTCCCCATGCACTATGTATAGTCACTATGTATAAAATAGACAGCTAGTTGGAAGCTGTTGTATAGCATAAGGAACTCAGTGCTCTGTGGTGACCTAAATAGGAAGGAAATCCAAAAAGGAGGGTGTACATGAATATGTGTGGCTGGTTCACTTTGTTGTAAAACAGAAACTACCGCAACATTGTAAACCAACTACCCTACAACAAAAATTTTAAAAAAGATATGGATAGGTCTTTTGTCTAGGTAGAAGTTTCATAGAACTCATCAGATTCTTAAAGGTATCTGTGATCCAGGAAAGGTGATGAAGCACTTAACAATTGGTTTCCAATGTTGTTGGGATAAATTTTCATGCCTTACCAGCCAAGGCCTTTTGCAAACTCACCCCAATCCCCACTCCTCACCCTATCTCCCACCACTTGATACTGGAAATCTCCCAATGGAGCCAGGCCATGGCGGCTTGAGTGACTGTCACCTTCTGCACTTTCCTTCCCTAAGAGCTTTGATTCTCTAATAGCCACACAATTTAAAATTCTATTCTCAAGCACTTTTCTTAAGTCTAAACCCAAACCACCATTTAAGACTCCCTTAAGCCTCAGAAAAAACTTTATATTTTTCCTTCAGATTTTAGAAAACCTTATATATTATTATCTGTATTTATCACACTTAAAATGTATTTAATTTATGATGTACACATTTTTTCCTCAATATATTTAAAATCGATATAGATAAGAACTGCCTCTTACATGACTGGATATTTCTCTGTTATCAAGGAAAATGATAATCATATAGTATATTCTCAACCATTCTCTGGTGAAGTCAATAAATACTTGTTGAGCCCCTCCTGTGTATCAGGCTGGATTTCTAGAAGTGAATATACATGGCAGGAATTATTCTACATTCAAGTGCAGAAGATGGATAAATAAGATTAATTAAATGTACAGTATAGTGAGTGCTAAGGAGAAAAATATAGAGCCACTAAGAGGAATAGGAAATGATTCCATGTACACTTGTTTTGGGGGCAGGCGATTTTAGATGGGAGAAGGGAAGGGAAGAACTCATCAATGTGACTTTTGAGTAAAGACCCAAAGGAAGTGGAGGAGTGAGCCGTGTCAGTGTCTAGGGGAAGAGAATTCCAGGCATAGGGAACAGCAAGTGCAGATGCAGGAAATGATCTAGCCTGTCTGAGGAATATGAGGAGGGAGGCAAGAAGTAAAATCAGAGAGTTAATGGGGAGCCAGACCATGTAGGGTCTTGTAGGTCACAGTTAAATCAATGAATTTTACTCCCCCGATACGAGGGATTTGAGAAGGTTATGATGGAACATTTTACCAGATCACTGCAACAACTCTGCTGAGAATAGATTAACAAGGGCAAGGGTGGGAAGAAGGAAGCAGTTAGACAGCTAATGGAGTGATCTGTGCAGGCTAAGAGGGGGTTTGGATTACCGTACTAGCAGTGAGGAAAATGTGAAGTGGCCAAATGATGGATATATTTCCAAGTAACTTCTGTGAGGGTGAAAGAGTCATCAAAGTTGACCCCAAGGTTTCTCTACTGAGCTCCACAAGTTTGACCTTGTTATTGATTGTTGAGGAAGGGAGAACTGTAAGACAAGTAGGTGAGGTGGGGTAGTGCAGATGGGGATGAATATCAGAAGCTCACTTTTGGACCCTTGAGTCCTGCCATGACTCTCAGTAGAGATACTGAGTAAGCAGATGGATGTGAGTCTGAAGTTCAGGCAAGAGGTCTGGGCAGGGCTTGTAGAATTAGAAGATACCAACAAACAGCTGCTCTTTAAATCCATGAGATTGGATGAGATGAACACATTTTTGTTGCTTGGATAAGAGAGAATCAATTCCACTTTGTTTTCTTCTGAATCATCTATTATAATTGTGCCTGGTTTGAATGAGAACTGTTATTGAGGAGTACTGAAGAGGAACACTCACCTCTTAAGGAATGTGGGCATGGGTTATCTGTCAATCAAAAATCAGAATTGAAGTGAATCTCATGAAACATTTGCAATCAGTTTATATTTGTCTTTTTATTTGTGTGTGTTTCAGGCCAGACCTGTTTGATTGGAATAGTGTGGTTTGCCAGCAGTCAGCCACACAACGACTGGAACATGCATTCAACATTGCCAAATATCAGTTGGGCATAGAGAAACTACTGGATCCTGAAGGTTGGTGCATTTCTAAGCTGCGACTGTTTTTAGCGCAGTTTAAGGTTTATCATCTCAGACTTCACATTTCCACAAACTAAGCACAAACTAGAACCTGTGCATTGTGTTTTCCTGTATTCCAGGTGTATTTAAAATGTTCTGCCTTCCTGAAATGTATTATGAATCGTCACATATGATCTTAGTTCTCAAATCCCAACATCTGAAACCAAAATATACAACTTTAGAAAAAGACACAAGCCTTTAGAATGTGAATGCTTCACAGATGAAGTATACTGTGTTTGGAGTTCACTGACTCCAAATAATTATAAAAAGTTCATGTTTTGCTTATTCTACCAAGAGATTTGATACACTAATCAGCTATAATTAATTAGCTACTCTTGGCACTTTCATTCATATATTGTATAAAAGGCAACATGGTTTACTGTTTAAATCAGGGAATCTTTTCCTGATGCTGATTCTGTTGTAATAGGTCACTGTGGGGGAAGTCCTCCATTGAATGATTATTCGTTTTCTGCTTCTTTAGTTGGTGGGCAGCACTGTATTTATGGGGTCTTTCCTGTAGCTCAAACAGTAAAGAATCTGCCTGCAATCCAGGAGACCCAGGTTCGATCCCTGGGTCAGAAAGATCCTCTGGAAAAGGGAATTACAGTCCACTTCAGTATTCCTCCCTGGAGAATCCCATGGGCAGAGGAGCCTGGCAGGCTACAGTCCATGGGATCGCAAAGAGTAGGACATGACTGAGCAACTAACACTACTACTACTGTATTTATATTTTTATATTACACTTAAGTAAATTCCATCCTTATGTTTGGTGCTACATAGTCATATCTACAAACACGTGGATTAGAGGGGTAATAATTCCTGACCTCTGCTTTTCTTTTAGCCTATGAGGCACTTTTTAATCTGCCAACTTCTTTGGAATTGCAAGCTATATTCTCTTTACTGAGGCTTTACCACACTCTAAACCCAGACGTTGGAGAAGCTGTATCAGTGGGATTGATTATCTGTGATATATTAATAATTCAAGCTGATATTTGGGTAGGGTTATATAATTCTTCTGTCTTGGGTATATTGAATCAGTCCCAAATCAGGAAATCCTTGAGTGGTGATCATGGGTCCCATCAGGAAAAGTTCCCAAAAAACTCAGAGGATATAGCCTTTCACTGGTGAATTTATCATCAACCAGAATCTATTACTTAGTGTTACAGACCCGGAAACCTGATTGCCTTATCTTATTCATAGCAGACCCATAGTGATGGGGGAGTTAATTTTAAACAAGATGAAAAAAAATGACATAATCAAAATGGAAGCTCAGATATTATAAATGAGATATTTAACAATAACAAGAACCAGAATACTCATATGTAATTGACCCCTGTATATGGACTTGGGAAGGGAAAATTATAGCAATTCAAATGTGTTTGTGAAGTTGGAATCAGATTAAGTACACTAGAAATGTTTCCTCTCCTTTAGATAATACATAGCTCTAACCTCTTCTTATTGCTTCAATAGATGGTCAGTGTCGTGGTTTAGCTCTAAGGGAGAAATTGTATCAATCATATTTCCTTGTCTTGAAAGGTGGGGAAGGGTTACCTCACTATTAACTCCTAGTAGCAATATATGTGATTTTTCATACTCCAGTGAGGTAGAGAGGCAGACATAATGAAAATATGAACTCTAGTCCCTGAGGATGAGAGCTATAGTGTGTGAACCTGAGGGATAAGCCTGTTAACAGTCTTTTTGTTGTTGTTGTTAAATCTGCATATGGTCATTTCTTTTGTCTGAGATATATGCTCAAGTTATTCTTGTGTGTGCCCTCTCCTTTCATAAAATAGTAAGTTTAAAATAGATCTTTTCCTGTTGAGTTATAAAATGGCTTTTGATCTCTAAGTCCTCCTTTGAATAGTGAAGTAAGGGGATCCAGAATAGACATCCGCATCATAATCGGAAAGTAGATTGATATGCATATAATCAGAAAAAGGCAGTTAAGTAATGTATTTTATAGCATAAAAGAGCCTGATATGCCCAATTCCATATTCCTACATGGCAAGTGTGTGTCGAAATGCACATCATATACGCTTGTAGTAACACCCTCAACACAGTGAAGCAATTATCCTCCAATTAAAAACAAATAAATTTAAAAACAAAGGGAAAAAATACCTCAAACCTGACAGTTTGAAGTCAACCAAATGCAGTATGAAATACAAGCTGATTAATAAAGATCAAACCACTGGTTATAGTTTCATTTTACCAATGAACTCTTGGATCTGAAAGCTTTTGCTATTTATGGACTCCCTTTCAAGTCAAAAAGCATTCTATTTCCTAAAATGGTTTATTAAAGTATTTTTATGGATTTCAATAAGGTAAGGATTCAGTATAAATCTTTACATTTTTAAGCTATCTATCAGTTCCCGGCAGTGTGTTAGAGAAATACTCAAATGTGCATTCAAAGACTTAAGTCTTAGATTGTAAGAGACACCGTTCTGTCTTTGCAATTAACTAATTAGAAAATAAAAATCCTTATGATTTAGGTAATTTTTCCTTTTAATTATCATTGATATCATCTCTTGAAAATACATTGAGCTATAATTTTTTTAATGCACATTTTTATATTTCCCTAACACACTGGCAGACTCATAGACTTCTTGCATGCCCTGTATAGTAATTACCTTTGAGAAGTCCATATTTTTATTTAACCACATATTGGTTGTTTAGCTTATACATGATGATTTCAGCTATTTTTCAAAGCAATTTTCTTTTCATATCTAATATGCCCCTTAGGAGGCTAATGAAACAGTCAGCTTTACATTTGGGGAGATATTTATTATTGGGGGATTGAGGTTAAATTTGGTTTAAAGAAATACCTACCCAAAAATGTCTTTAGAATTTTAAACATATGCTTTGTTGATTGGGTTGATTTACAAATTAAACAAGTCACTGAAATATAATTTGGAGCTTTTCATATCTTGTGTGTATCGACTTTGGTATGCTTCATTTGACCTTAACTGTTGTTTTGAGGCCTGAGGTTTGGTTTTAAGTGGAATTGCCTTTTAAAATGAGTAGCAATAGGCATTAGCATAACCAATTTCAGGAGCTGTTTCTGGTAGTTTAAATGTTAACATATGCAAAAATAAGTACAACTAAGGTAAAATTATTTAATACTTTATGCATCTTTATGCTCATAGATATAAAAGGTTTATCTCCTTCCAAACATATCCTATTGTGAGTCATTCGATTCACTTTCTCTTATGATTTCCCTATAAGACACACACAGTAGTGCTTTGTGGGTTTCATATGCATTGTTTGCTTCCCTGAGTTTCAAACAAATTGGTTTGTTTGCAAATCCACACACTACTTCATGCATTAAGAGAATGCTTTGTCAGCTTTTCCTTGTGAATAGCAAAGTGAAGATGCTCTTCTTAAAGCCATTAAAAAAAAAAACAAAATCAGGGATAAAAATGTGTGCCAGTTCTAGATGACTTTTGACTATAGTAAGTCATTTCCATCTAGGATGTGCAAGATGATGCTCACATCATCCATGGTTTACCGAACTGACTTTAAATGAAAATGAATGACAATAATAAAATTTGATGAACACTAGGGCTTTCAAGAAATATTTATGACCTCAAAATGACATTAACAAGCCAATTAGTTTGGTTTTAATCCACTGTATTTTCCCAGGGTGAGGATGGTGACACAGATTCTATTTTCTGCCTGGCTAATCCGTACATCACTCTTGAGTTGCTTTTAGAGTCTACTTTTCCAAGAATTAGCTCTGCTTTTTGAAAGTTTTCTTCCTGAATGAATGGTCTCTGACTTCACTTGACCTGCATGCAGTTGATTAGTCTTCAGAAAGTAATCAAGAGAAGATATATAGCTTTTGTTGTAAATGAAAGTCCTTAAGGCTTCTTTAGGTGGCTTGAGCAAGTAGTGTGCTTTTTTTGCTTCTATCCTTGTTCCGTTCATCACATTTTGATCCCATTAACAATAAGAATGCTAATAAGTAATTTACACTAAGCTAAAATGGAAAGAGAAAACCAACTCAGATGGATCTTGTTGATGTAAATAACTTGAGCTTTTTATGAACAGGCACACTCATTTCATATCATTTAGATTGTTTTTTTCTAGAACCCATTGTGGAATACCTTGGGTTTCAGAGAATGTAATGAGGTTGAAATATACTGGTATTCCTTATGTGTATAACATTTCAAGTAGAAGTTTTCTTGTAAATATATGACACACTTTACCGCCAAACTCTCTGCAGTGCAAAATGTTCTTTTTCCCCATATATTAAAGTATTTTAATAGTACATCTTGAGTTAAAATGGCCATTGCCTTTTTGATGGCAAAGCAACAAAATATATATGTTATTTTGTATTGTTTTGTATTACTGATTAATATTGTTATCTCTGGCAGAGTGTCTTTAGAGATATTATAAATTGTAATTATCTAATAGGAAATCTCAAGTTTTTTGGATGACAGTTCTTAGTCAACCTATTTTGCTATGGAAAATAGAAAATGTCATCAACTGCTTTTACAGATATGATAATAAAAGAATAGTGGTCCTATTAGATCAATAGGAGACCAGTTTTTCCAGGGTTTCTTTTTAAAGGAACCATTACAATTTGATCATTAGAGCCAAATTATATCATTTAATGGTGTTAAGTAATAATAATGAAAATATTCCTTTAATTTTAAACTTCAGTAGATTGCAGTTGAAATGAGTAAATTAGAGATGGCATTATTGTATCAGCAAAGGAATGGGCTACATTAGATTTAGTGTTAGCATCTTATATGCTTAATGTATATTCAGCACAACCTTTTAGTAAAGGAATTTGGGAAATATTGTGTTAAATAATTTAAATATACACTTTGATTAGCATTGATTAGAACAGAAACTAGCACTGACACATAATTAGAAAAACTGATGGCCAGTGTTGAAGTCCAGAGAAATGTCATTAACATATTTCTAGCCTGCATATCATTAGAGTAAGGATACTT